GAGCCAAAGATGTTAGAATTGTGTCGATGTCCCAATATTTCTGGACCTGACTGTAAATAGCTGGTTTAGATACAGGAAACCAGGCTGTAGAGAAGAATGCATAAAAGTTGATGAGCAAGTACAGGAGTCACTTTGTGATAATGACTGTACTACTGGATACTTTATTAGAATTTACCTCAGTTGCCTAACAAGGAAGCAACAGAGCAAAGTAGAATGTCATAACACTTTATTTACTTACTTACTAAAGTTTACTTGCCACTTCCAGTCACAAAAGACTCTGAGTGGTTTAGACCCTGAAAAAAGCTGTTGGATCAACAGTAACAGAAAATAAAACTGGCACCAATACTGCATTCTGTAGGTGCCGCATCTCCAGAGGAACTAAAATCACCACAACTCCTGAAGGCTTTTTGGAAGAATCATTTACTTACCTAAATCTGTTAACAGATAGGCAACTTTTTCATATACCTGAAACCAACATAAGAAAGGAACGTACATTTTACAAACATCCCACTTTAAAACATGATTTCAGCTCTACATATTAGAAAAACTGTGTGAAAAGTAACCTCCAATCCAGCTCCTTAATGATGACTATTTCCTACCATAAACAATAGAAAAAAATCATAGGCAACATATGAGTGCATTAACTATTTGCCCTAGTGAGATATGCCATATACTGTTAGAAAGCTAATTGATTAATTTGCTAAGAATGGCACGCTTGCGCCTGCAGATTGCATACATATTAAACTAGAATTTCTAGTTTTAAAGATGCCAATCCAGGCAAAGTAATCCACACCCATTCTTCTAACACGAATTTTTACCCTAGAAGACAGGCAGATTTAAATCTGATATTTATTTCTTGGAGTATCTCCATAATTGTAAGAGCTTCGCCTTCCTTGAAAACTTGCCCGTACTTGTTATGCTCCAGCTATTTGACTATTTCAGATAGTCTTAATAACTGTTAGAGAAATGCATCGAGGATTCGTTTCCCCAGCGTGATAAACACAGAGACGCATTAACAAACAGCAAGTTGCTACGACACATTTGTTCTCCTCCATTTTAATAACACTGATAACTCTGTAGTAATGGATTCTGATTCTTCTGAGGAGTTTCCCAGCAAATTTTACAGTAGACAAAATCTGTCACGAGGGAATTTTGAAGTAAAGCCTGCAGTTGAGACAAAATCAGCTTGTTATGGTGGCCACTGAACTCCTACCTCTGTGCTGAAATTCCCCAGGAATAAAACAGCTTATTTGAACAGTAAGGGGGATAAACATGGATTGCTTTGAAGCCTGCCTTCCTGAAATGTGTATTGCCTCATTCAGTAGATTTCCTTGGTCAAGCCTTTGCCCAAACTTCCTCATGCCTTGCACAGAGGGAAATAAACATTTGGATAAAGTCATCCATGGGAAGGGGGCAAAAAAGTCAAGATGGTGGCCACGATCATGCAACTGAAACCCACCCCTTTTTCACACACTTAAAAAAAGGGGTGAGGTTTCAATGGTGTATTTGCAATAACACCTTGGCTTTTTGTACCCAGTCTGCAGACATCACTGCATTCTGATGTGCATGGTAGTTCCTGCAAATTATAACAATGTTTACTTCATTTATTTAGTATTTCTTTTGAAATGAAAAAAAGTCATTTGCAGTCATGGAATACTGTCGCCCCTATGGTTAAAAAACAGATCCTCCTAAAAGACCTATTAAGGTGTAATGTCCCTAGAGAGATTAGGGATATGGAGGCAGAGGGGATAATGGTTACAAAACCCTCCAACTACATTCAGTTCAACATCATTCTGACAAGGGAATTGCTTCACTTGTTTTCCCTTGGTTCAATTTTAAACAGAATGCCTAATTAAAATTTTGTTTGCTGCAGCAGGAAAGGCTTCTATGAAGTTATACCCAGATTTGAAATGCAAATTGGAATGCATTTATCTTCCAGATTTTGCACTTCTCTGACCTTTGCGATGTGGGCATCTGCTAATATTAAAGTTGATATTTTCAGAATGTCCATGTTCTTTTGTTGATTCTTAAATTGATGCCTTCTCACTTTTTGGTGGGTATTAATATGTTTTAGTCTAAAATAAAATTAATAGCAGTGGTAGCAGTGATGGCAAATAGTAGTAGTAGTAATAATAATACCCCAATAGGAATATAAAAATAAATTTTAAGAGAAATACATTTAGAAATATATCTTTTTCAGAGGAAAAAAAAACTTTCTCCTTTAAATATCTACTGTCCTGCAGTGTTTAAAACTGCACAGTAATTGAAAAATAGGATTACATCAACATATAAGTGAATATGTGTGTGAGCCTGAATTTTACTAGAACTAACAGTTCCAACTATTCCTACGTCAGCCGGGGAGGCTGGAGAGCTCTTGTGTTTAGAAGTGGATGTTATGTGATTGATATGCTTTTTTTTTTCCAGACTCAACGTGGTGCACTAGAAATCATGCTCCAGAAAATAGGCAGGGGCAGGATGAAAACTAAATGTGGTTTTAATTCATACATATTTCAACCACATTCACATTCACCTAATAGAACTATTTTATAATTATGTATTTAATATTTTCTGTTTCTGTTCTGCTATATACGTGCTCATCTTATTACTGATTACTTATGCAGCATCTCCCCTTCATGGATCACTGCCTTGTCGTGGCGAAGGGGCTTGCGTAACTCAGTGAA